CATGTGTGTTTTCCCCGTGGGGGGGGGGGGGGGGGGGAGGTCACTCAGAAACTCAACACGTTTCGCTGTATGCTTTCTCAAGAAGAATAGGAGGGTTTTCTCTTACATTTGGAATAAAACTATTTAAACGTATCAATTGTGTGATTTGGTGACTTAAAAACCCTTCTTCCATTTTTGGAGTGTGGTACCATTGGACAGAGGTATCACCAATGCACCGTAATAAAACTCCATTATATGTAAACATGGAGCTGGTCTGGCTGATACTGTTGTCCAATGAACTGCCCTTCTAAGCTTCAGTACCTATAAAATGTTTAGTAAAGTTCCCTACTTCTAAGCTTTAATTTTAGTATGAGTCAGATGAACAAGTATAGTAACGGTGCAAAGAACACTGTACAATGATCCATAGCAACCAATCAACAATCCTTTTCTCTAGGCTGATGATTGGCTAGTGTGGAGTTCTGGACAGCGATGCTCTGTGCAGTATATATGCAGATGAACTTCCAAAGAACAGAGCAGATGTGGCATTACGTGTGTGCTGCATCCTCCACCTGTGTGCTCTGTCATAGTCATTTCCTGTGCTTTCACTGGCAGGTGACTCAGCCAAGGGTTATTTTCCATAAAGGAAAAAGGACAAGGAAAATCAATCCTGACGGGTTCCTTGTGCTCCAGGGAAAAACTGACCAGTGTCAGGATGCATTTACATGTAGTACAGTAAGATGTATTGTATACACGGGGCCACAACCAATGAATGTGTGTGTGCGCTTTTTCTGCAGGTTGAACAAATTCTTGCAGAATATAAAGTCAGAGCTCTTGAATGCCATCCCGACAAACACCAAGGAAACCAGAAAGCAGGTACATTTGTATTAGAAATGTCATAATAGAAATGTTTTTATCTGAATAAACCAGTAAAAACAGAAAATTAAAGTTATGGGGGTTGTCTTAGGCACTTCTGCAGAAGGGTGGTGCAAACAGGACCTGCAACCTATGTTGCTGAGGTAGTTCACAACTCATGAGGGGAGGGCACTTCAACCTTTTCACCTTGGGTGCTACAGGACCTTATTCCAGCACTACAATATACAAATAAGATTTTGGCGCCAGAAAGTTTGTGATCAGGAGAGGTTGGTTTTCGATGCAGAGGATTTCAGTATAGGAGAGGCGAGTATTCAAGATCAGAGTTCAATATACACTAGGGATGGTTAGTGTGTTAGGTTAGTGTTAGAGTCAGGGGCGTAACTAGAAATCACAGGGCCACATAGCAAAATTTTGTATGGGGCCATGTGATTTCTACTTATGCCCACATGATATCCCAAACAGCCCAACCGAGAGAGACCCTGCAGAGACCACCATATACTTTCTATGGTGGGCTCTGCAGGGTCTCAAGTGGGCTGGTCAAACCCTCTTACCTGTCAGCGCCGTCCGCCTCCTCCTTCTCCATGGTCGCTGGTGGGCCCCTCCACCTCCTCCGTCACTTGTCAGTGATCTGAACAGCGGTGTGTTCCTCTTCACAGCCGCCAGTGACAGCCAGCAGCCTGAGATGCCATAACGACCCAGCCGGCCTGCACAGTATCAGGGGGATGTCCTGGTCGGGCCCCATAACAGCCGCCTAGGTCGCTATGGCAATTGTTCCGCCACTGGTTAGGGTTATTAGTATGAGGGCTAGCTTTGGGGTTAGGGGGAGGTTTAGTGTTAGGGTTATAGGGAGAGTATGTGTGAAGTTAGTGTTAGGGTTAATAGTATGAGGGCTAGCTTTGGGGTTAGAGGGAGGTTTAGTGTTAGGGTTATAGGGAGAGTATGTGTGAAGTTAGTGTTAGGGTTATTAGTATGAGGCCTAGCTTTGGGGTTAGAGGGAGGTTATTAGAGCGTTTTTCCAAATAGAATATTTTAGTTACTTATTTCGATCTGCTAGATCCCAGTACCCTCACACCTCCTGACTTTTGTGCCTGAAAAGCAGCAGCCTTAAGCATCATGCTGGTTTGTCACAGGATCATAATATAACATGCAATGGGAAAAAAAACAACTATACTTTTGTTTTATACAACTCTCTGGCCTGCCTGTTCATAATATATTCTGGCAGATATGAGAAGTAAGGCTGACATATATTTGGGTAACGCATACGCGTGTGCAAAACCTTTTCCTTATTTTGCCTTCTCAATGGCGGTCACCGATGTTAAACTGTAGTGAGCCATTGCACTAGCCTTCACCAACTACCTGTGCTATTCCATAAAATTCTATTCTCACATCTAAATCTGGATTTATGCTGACAATTGAATCTCTGAACACATGTTGTTACATTGCAGTTGAAGAGTTTCAAAAACTCCAGCAAGCCAAAGACACCTTAACAAATGAAGACAGTCGCGCTCATTACGATTACTGGAGACGGAGCAAAATCAGTATCCCATTTACGCAATGGGAAGCTTTGCAGGATTCTATTAAAATGGTAAATTTGATAATTGTTGTTTTTTCCTGAATAGCTATTATGTATAGGACAGCAGACCAAACAGTGTATAAAACACATTGAATGCACGCTGTAACCACACAAGTATCTGCACCGTCTCAGTGGCTCGTTGGGTCTGGATTTCATTTTACAGACGTGCTGGCGGCTGTGTTATACGACCCAAAGAGCATCAAGAATTGATTGGAGGAAAGCTTTCTGTTTGCATCAGGCTTTGTTTTGACAGTGCAGTGTTCTGTTTTGCAATAATTTGTTTCAGTGGTGGTTGCAAAATCCTTTCTGTTTGAACCTAGCAAATAAACATTTCCTAATCCAAACTTTGGAGTAGTTTACAGATGGGACGTTACCCTGTAGTAACCCTCTTTATTTACACTTAGGTGACGTACGTATCTTTACTTTGGCATAATTCGATGTCAGTTGTCATTCATATCAACTTGATAGGCTACAATATACTAATATTAAAGTGAGCTTTAAACTAGCAGTCGTATGTAGTAACATCTTGTAGTGATCGATCACACATGAGTAAAGTATTGCATTTGGATGTATCTGTGCACTTCTCTATGTTGTATACTTTTGTGATCCGTTTGTCTTTGCAGCTTTGGACTAATGCCGCTCCCCTCCCATGTGTGGATGTGTTTCTGAATCTTCTCACTATGCCCCTGTGATGTGTGGCTGTGTCTATGCAGCTTTTCACTACTACTCTTGACACTTGTCTCTGCTGCCTGTCACTACTTCTCCCTCTCACCTCTTATGGGCGGCAGTACCTTTGCTGCCTGTTATTATCCTCGACTTTCAACTCACGTGTGGTTTGTGGCATTGCAGTTTCACATTACTCTCCACCGCCCTCCCCATCCATGTGAGAGGGTCTCTGCCGTCTGTCACTATACCCCC